TATCTGCAGTCAATGCAAAGACATGAAACACAGACTGGAAAGGATGTAATTAAGGCTGAATATTGAATACACAGAAACAAGCAACAGAAAGCACTTTATTGTATTGAGCAACAGAGGTGTTTAAAGCTGTTGGATTTCAGCTGACTTGAGTTACAGCAAATCAGGAGCTAGTATAGAAAGCAGAGTTTAAATTGTCCAGAAAGGCCAGTTTGATGAGTTACTTGTTAGAGTGAAGAAGTGGAAAAGCCTTCAGTAAAAGTCAGTTCCTCTCCTTGGAGCCCCATTTTCGGGGTGCTTTGCTTAGGTGTGCTGTGCCCTGTGCCTGTGCTTTAGTCCTGAAGAGAAATGCTTGTAATTCCATCTCACTTTAGAAAGGAGAGAGAAACGGGTTGTTGAAGCTTTTGAGAGGTGTATTTTTTGTTCTCCTGCCAGAGATCAGAAGGATTGGAGGAGAGGATCTCCCCCAAAGGCACAGGGCCTGCCTGGTTTCACAGTGCTGCTCTCAGCTTCACAAGGTGCCTGGATGTGAGATTGTTTGGCTGTGGAACTGAGGAAAATGGAGATGGAGAAGTGTAGTCTGTGAGTAAGGTGAGAAAAATCTCAGCCTGATAAGATCACTCTTAAAGCTGTTGCAAGACACATTCAGTTGTGTGTCAGCATCTTTAGTAGTGCTGCATTAAAAGGTAAATCTGAGGGTGCTTTAAGATCTTTAAAAAAAAGTCCAAGCTGGCATTTACCTGTCTTTCAGGATAATTCTGTTCTTCCTTTAGTGAGATTCTGACCAGGTCAGACTCCTTTTGTCCCCATGTCAGTGTGCTGGCTCTGCCTTGCAACTCAGTGGTTTACAAACAGCTGGGTTGTGAGGTGCCAGGGAAATTTCTGCCAGGAAAACAGAAGGTCCTGATTTGGTTGAAGGCTGAAGAGGATGTCATGAGGTCACACAGCTTCTTAACTGCAACTCAGCTCCGTGAAGCTGTCCGTGGTTCAGTTCTCCTCTCTGGTTGCCATAAAATGATTTCATTAACATTTTGTAGCTGGTGAACTCGTGGGTGGGGTTGAGGCTTCTCAAATACACATTGCTGAAAGGGTCTTTGAGAAGGACTGTTCAGATTTAGCACTGGAGAGCTTTAACTTTCACTGGTTTGCTGTTGTGATTAATAGTGAATATCTCCTTTTGCTCCGAAATAGATTTTCATTTCCATTTCTGCGAGTATTTCTGTGAGGTTAGACAAGCTACAAGTGAAGCAGTTACTGAGATATTACTATATTTATGTTTCAAATGAAGCTGCTATTTGAGAGTCATCTTGAACTATAGTGAAGACTAAATTAAAATGCATTACTGAAAGTACTTTAGACAAGCTGATTACTTTTTAATTGCCTCTTTATTTAGGCTTTTTTGTGTTAAATGAAGGGCTCTTAGAAGAACAGGTTGGTTTGGTTACTGCCAGAGAAGTCTCCATTGCTACACAGTGAGGGTTGTGCAAGGTATTTCCTGGGGGTGGGAGAAGGAAACCCCAGGGACCCCTGGTGCTGTCGGGGACACAGGACATCTCCTGACTCTCCAGCTGCCACGCCTCAGCATGGACATTATTTGTGCCTAGGACAGATCTGGCCACTTTCTGGCAATCTTAGTGGACATCAAACACAATGGTGATGTGTTTGTGTATGATCACAAGTGATAACATTCCTGTGAGGTTTGGGTCCCAGCAGGATGTGGTAGCGGACCATGAGTGCTCCAGGGCTCTGCAAATGAGGAGGAGATGGGGTTGCTTTAATGGCAACCACAGTGACCAGAAGGATGAGTCTGGTCTTTATTCTCTGCCTTGCTTAAGGGAAGTTTATTTATATAAAGAATTTATGGTCATATGGGCATAATATTTTATAATATGTGTGATTCTCTTTCTATTGAATTTATTTCCTGAGAATGTGTCAGGGAGGGAACTGAATTGGCACCTTCTGTGATAGATGAGGTCATGATCCTTCATGTTACACCCTGAGTTTTAGATTAGGGGTAAAACATGTTTAGAAAGCAGCAATGCTGTTGGACAGGGCCATCTCTTGTAAAATTACCAGTTATCTGCCATGATCATTTTACTTTCTGTGAAGTGCATAAAACTCAGAGCTGTGTCCTTCCCTTTGGGCACCCCCTTGCCATGATGCCAGAGCTCCCAGGGAGCAGTTCCTGTGGAATGAGCACTCATTCCTGCTAACAATTTCCCTGTGGCTGGAGTCAGTGCACAGCGTGACTCGCCGGCTCTCTGGAGACCTCACACTTGCCAAAGAGCTCTGAAATCCTGTGTGACTCTTTTATGGCTCTGATTCATGCTGGATTCATGCTGAATCAGAGCAGCTGTAGCTGGGGAGAGCTCAGCAATTAAGTTGCCTTCTCTTCCCGTAAGGTTGTAAAGCCAAGCCCAGCTCTGGGTAGCAAATGTCAGAACTAAGGCTGCCTTTCAGTCTTGCCTGTGGCCTGCTCAAATATGTACATGGGTGATGTCATTTTTAATTACACGCTCACTTAAAGATCCCTGCTTGGCTCAGTGAACGGGCGTGATGCTCAGAGGGATCACTCAGAGCTGATGCTCAGAGGGAGGGTGGACAGGCAGTACTTCTGGTTTTCTTCTTTGCTGTGTGGCCTGTGTCTGCCCTAAAGTGATTCCTCCTGGGTTGTTTATCTTGCTCTCAGTAAATACCAGTAAATTGTCTTTGCACCACTGATAACTATGAAGTGGTGTTACTAAGGAGCGAGGCACAGACCAAGATGATGCTTGTTAATTATTGTGATGTTGTGGCGTGGAGGTGAGAGGATTTTTTGGCATTCATGGGACTCGTTCCAGGCGGGTTTCCCCCTGGCTCCAGCTGAGGGCTACTCTGGCTGGGGCTCTGATAACAGCCACAGGGTTTCCTCTGTGGCACCCCCTGCCCTGGGGAAGAGCTGCTGGGCCCCCTCCAGAAAGATTTTCTGTTTGCTCTTCTCCCCTGGCCCTGGCAGGGCTGGAGCCCAGACAGCAGTTCAGCTGTGAGTCATTCCCCACCAGCAGCTCTCCCGTGCATCCACTGCAGCAAAACCAGGGAAATAGGTGGGATGCGTGCAAGCAAAGGCTGCACCTTGTCCTTCAACTCGTGCTCTGTGCCTCGTGTGCCCCAGCTCTCTTATCCCAGGGGCTGGAGCTGGGCTGCTCTGCCTCCCCAAACTACAGCATGGAGCAGTTGGGAATAGAATTACAAACGGCTGGCTCGTCTGTCATGGCCCAGGTGTGGCTCAGGTGTGACAGGAGTCCTCGTGAGTCTGGGGCACACAGGATACACACTTCACAGGGATACACACTTCACAGCTTAAAGATTCTGTGGGAGAGTAAACGCTGGAGTTTGTCATGCAGGGGACGTGACAGTGGTGCCCGGAGCTCCTGTTGCCACCCGGGCTCTGGGGCTGGGGCAGTCTCCTGGCAATGGCTTCAGCAGCCCCAGCTGACTCATTTCCTTTCACAGCCCAGGAGCTGCGTTGCTCAGCAGCCATGGAAACAGCAGGGTCTGCCTGGGAGGGGATTTGGCAGGGAGCTGTGCTCAGCAGCCCCGGGTGGGAGGTCTGGTTCTGCCAGTGCAGGTCTGGTGTCTGCTGGCACCGCTCTGCTGGACGAGTTCCTGTGCTGCTGCTGCAGCTGTGACTGAGCCCCGCTGCCAGGATGTGCTTGGGTATGATCATGTTAGGTGTCTATCCACTGTCTTTAGTCAGTGCTGGTTTGGTTTCTTTGATGTGTGCTTTGTAGTCAATGAAATTTGGACACCTCTGATTATGCAGCAAAATCATCTCTGCCATTAGATTCCCTTAGATCATCAATATATTCCAAGGAGAGTTTAAAACTACCAGATCCTCTGTATTTTGCCCATGGCCAAGGAGGATCCATGGGCTGCAGGTGGATCTCTGCTTCCCCAGGGCCCTCCATGGGCTCAGGGGCGTCTCTGCCCATGCTTCAGTGACCTTGGTGCCTGCACAGCTGATCCTCTGGCATATTCTCACTCCTGTCTCCAGCTGCTCCTGTGTGGTGACTTTGCCCCTTCCCAAACACCTTCTCCCAGCAGTGCTGATGTCCTGGGCCTTGGCCAGCAGTGGATCCATCCTGGAGCTGCCCAGGATTGGCTCCAACACACAAGGGGGGAGCTGCCAGCAGCTTCTGACAGGAGCCAGCCCTGGAGCCCCCCAGCACCAAAACCTGGCCCCAGCCCCAGGCCAAGGAGCAGCAGGGGCTGGAGTGCAGTTCTGCTCTGGGGTGCCTGGGGTGCAGACACCTCAGGGAGCAGTGAACCCTCTGTGGCCCGAGTTCAGGGTCCTCCCTCACCACAGGCTTGGTGTGTGACCTTGGCTGTGTCACCGAAGCTCTCTGTGCCCTTGTTTTCCATTAATGCAGTGCAGAGGAGGAAATCTCCCTGTTTTCTCGTCTGTTTTGTGGAGAAATGTGCCAGCAATTACAAAGTGCTGAAATTCCTTGCTGGTGGAGGTCACGAGTACAAAGGATGCTATTGCTGCTGACAAAGCCCACTTCAATTAACTTCAGATTAACCTACTAATGTTATGAAAGAGTTTTATTTGCTTTGAAAGGTATTTTTAAAGCTCTGACTGAGTCAACTGCTGTCAAGCCTCTCATGGTGTCATTTTGTAGAAACTCCTAAATTTTTATACTATAAATCATAAAGACAGGTGCTAATTAGAGCTCTCTAATACTGGGTGTATCCTTGAGGGAGCAGAGACTGCCTCCCCTAACGTGTGGCCTGTCAGCCTTCTAGAATGTTTCTTTGGGGATACCTTGATTTTGTTTGTAAAATCCAAGCTAAATATGGGAATAGCTTTTTTTGTAACACTGAAATACTGTCATTCAAAAAGTGCCATTTTCATGGTTTTGCCAAAAATGTGATTGTAAAATGACCGAAAGTATCAGAGAAATTAATCTAGCTTTTTTCTTTACAAGAATCCTCAACTGAAAATATTTTTCTGATTGTTTCAGGAGTAAAAGTTCCTCGTAATTTTCGTCTTTTGGAAGAACTTGAAGAAGGTCAGAAGGGAGTAGGGGATGGAACAGTTAGCTGGGGCCTTGAAGATGATGAAGATATGACACTTACGAGATGGACAGGAATGATTATTGGGCCTCCAAGAGTAAGTATCCACTTAAATACTAAAATAGTACTGTTACATTTTTTCCCCTTCTCCTAGCCTCACCACTGAAGTAGAAAATAAACAAAAGGCAAATGAGTGGAAAAAACAATTTAGGAAGTGATTTATGTTGAAGTTCTTTGTATTAATGGGTTTCATGTGTCTATATGGCTTTCTGCTTATAATATGAAACATTTTGGTGCCTTTCTCTGGTTACTTCTGTTACTTGTCTGCTTTATATTTGCAGATTCAGTGAGACATAACTTTGGAGATCCCAGAATTCTAACGTTGTGTACCCTTGCATCCAGCAAGGTTCAAATCCCTCAGCTAGTGAGGTTACAAATGGAGCTGCTGCAGGTGCCAGGGGATGCTCTGTGCTGGCTTTTCTGCTGTTCCTGTTCCGTTTGTGGGGTGCTGTTTATTGCAGGAATACTGACAAGCTCTTGCAGAATTTCAGCTGACTGAGGAAACTCAGATTTTAGTAATTTCAGTCTCTTCTCTGAATGTCCTCTCCCAAAGCAGCATCTTATAATGCAGCTGGTCTTTGTGGGAGTATTGTAGCCTCTTTTCCCCCCAGCCCTACTAAACTGTGGGTTTACACTCTAGTAGTGAACTTGAGGACTTAACTGTGTGTTGAATGTTGCATGTGTGCTAAAACCAGAACTTGTCTGTTGTCTTCAGGTTCACTGTTCTGTTTCCCTAATATCCTTTGCTGGAGTGCAAGTAGCCAGTACTCCTTCCTGCAATAGCAGATCTGCATCTGGCCTCAGTATCATTTCTCAGTAATTCCAGAGGTCATTACATGAAAATCTTTACAGACCTTTAATCATGTTCTGCTCTCTGTTCCCATTCTGTCAGTTGCCTTTTTTGACATACACTGAGGCTGTACAAGAACGTGTATTATGAAGGCATTATACATGCAGTGTTTTCTGTCTCACCCAGAAGTGTTGTTTACTTGTTGTCTGCCTTTGCTAATCTCTCCCCAGTCACGAGCATTTCATTTGTTTATGATGTACCCAAATTGTTTTCTAGAACAGCATTTGATTTTAGAACATTAGGAGAGTGCTAATGAGCCTGCATTAAGGCTGTGAAGAAAGCTCACTGTGTGCATAGGCTTTATGGAAAATTTAAACAACCTTGAAATCTAATTTAGAAAATTAAATAGGAATAGAAATGTGCAAACAGGAGAACGCAGCCTTGCCAGCAGTGATGGAAGTTTGCAGTTATTTTGTGCTGCAAACCAAGGTTAAAGGACCATCAGTGCCAAGGAGTCAGCTCTGCCTCTCCTGTTTTTCTGACACACTTAGGAATATAGATCTTCTTGCCAGATATGTTGTGACTTCTTTTGAGCTTCTTGCTGGAAGGCAACAGACTGTATTGAGAGAGATCCTGGGGACTTGCAGCCATTCTTGTTTGCTGTCCTGCTTTTAACACTGCTCAGATTCAGTTCTTACCATTTTGGTTCTTAGTAGGAAGTGCAAACACTGACTGGGGACAAAAGCTAAGTCCTATGTCCCTCTGGGTGGAAGGCAGTCACACTTGCAGCAGGTGGGAGGATGTTATGCTGCATTCCAGTGGGACAGATGAGCAGCTGTGCAGAGCTGGAGGTCTGTGTGCTGCTGCCCAGGGTTGTCCTGCAGGGGTGTGGCATTCCCAGGCTGTGTGATGTCCCTCAGCCAGCAGTCACCTTGGTGGCACAGGCTGTTCAGAGCCAGTGGCACTGTCAGAGCTTCTCAGAGCTTCACCCAGCTGTGCACGTGCTGTGGAGTGGCTGTGCACAGCCAGGGCCCCCAGTGCCAGCTCCCAGCTGGGTGGGTGTCCCACAGACCCCAGAGCTCCCAGCTGGGTG